TTCCTTCCAAAACCAAACATTCTAATCAAGTCATAATCACAGAATCGGAAAGAATCTGCCTGGAAAATGTGGCACTTCTAGTGAGTCATAACAGTAGATTGACTTTCCTATAAGAGAGGAACACATTACAGGAATTGGGCAATTGAAATTTTCCTGGAGTTAAAGAGATCATCAGATTACCCACATGTGTTCCATACAATTGGGTATTTTTGTGAGTGGGCAAAAGGTTTTTGCAATTCTTGTGATTGGATGGGAGTCATGGGATTTACAGCTGTGAATGTTGCCCACATGGACTCTGAATTTGACTCGCCCATCTTTTAATCATCTTTTCTATTCTTTAAATTTCTTTAAAGATTAAGAACCTTTGGATTGGCAAGCTTTATTGAAATCACTGGGTGAGGCACCTTGAACCCTTTAAAAATCTCTTGAGAAGACATCTCTCTTTGTAGATTCCAAATCTTCTCTTCTCATCTGTTAGATACATCATTCCCTTCAGCAATTTTTAAAAATAATACAGACTAGAGAAGGGATCACCTGGAGTTCTACTTTCCTCTGCTATTCTGCTACTATGTAATATATAAAGGGCTGGGCCAGATTAAAGGTGTCCTAAGCATAGCCTGATAATGGTGCTCCCCATTTCCATTTGATGTTTAATAATATTCCATATTACTCACAAGCCAATTAAACATCAAAGAACCTGGATGTTCTTTGATACAGAGATATAATGTAAATTACTGATATTCCATTCACTGATTTTTATCTTTTGCCCATGATAGATCTATCTCACTATTTCTGCTTGCTTATTGTTACCTGCTTTAATATTTGCTGATGTTTAATAAATCAATAGTAAGGTGCCCTTTGGGCTACTAGTCAGGTTGAATGGCATCTATGTTTGCTCTGATCTATGAGGACTGACTGGGAAAGAATGGAAATAACCCACAGTAATTTTCCAACACCTTCTTGCTCATTGGAAAACAGCATACGTAAAGAGACCTTTTATATCCTAAAAAGCTTTATTTAGCTTGCCTTCAGTCTAGCAGCATGATTTCTAATCTATAATAGACATTGTAGCTATAGTTTAGCCTCTCAATCATTTCAGTAACTGTTATTTACTCATGTACTTAATAATCAACATAGTAGGTTCAATTTTTTTTTCAAGGCTGCTTCTGCTATAGTTATATTAGAATTTTTTTGCTGAGATTCCCCACAAAGTACTTATTTGCATACAAAGATCATGTAATTTTTTTTGATGATCCTGGAATTCAAAAGCAGTGTCTGATTTGCTGAGCAAATTTATTAAAATACACTTCTTTCAAGGTCAGTCTGGACATGGTAGAGTATGAGTTCAATTACATGTTTGAAAAATAAATGTTCTAACATACCAGCCAACCAGCCCAGGATAAGTAGTGATAATAGTTGTAGATTAAAATGAATTAGAAGTACCCAGATCTTTATTATCCATATGCTACAGTATTCAAATGTTGCATAATTTCCTACACTGAAACATTTGGATCAGCTGACAACCCATACTTTGTGAACAATGGGCTGGAAATAAATCAATCCACTTACTATTGATACAGGTATAAAGGGTTTCATCATTTTCACCTAATATATTAAAATAATCCTTATGTAATACTGCTAATTCAGGATGCATTACCATCCATTCCAATAGATAATCCCCAATCCTGCTTTACTTACCACTGATTTGCCTCCATAAATGCATGTGTTAGCAGAAGCACTTCTACTGTTTCTGCTTATATTCAAAAGTGTATGGAAGATATCAGTGTACTTAGGACTATTGTCATGAGAGCAAATGAGAAACCTTGAATGTCTCAGGAAGTCTGTGCAATGTTGAAGGTGAGAAAGGTCTTCAAATCAGGTGATGTGGCAGCACTTAGAATAGCAAGAGCTGATTTGAAATGTGCTATAAAAACAGCAAAGCAGACCTAAATTTCTTTCAAGATCTGATGGACCCAAGACATATATGGCAAGGTATTCAGGTCATTACTGACTATTAAGGCAGCTTCCCTGACATTTAAGGGTAATACGGATTGTCTAAACAAGCTAAATACATTTTTTTGGATGGCTTGAGGCCACAAACAACATTCCAGCAAGGAAGATTGTTCCCCTTCCTGATGAGCAGGGGATTTGGTTTGATACAACTGCTGTTTGGAAGGTCCTGCAGAAAATCAATACTCAGAAAGCTGCTGGTTTTGATAAATTCCCTGAGCAGGTACCTGAGGATTGTGTTGACTAACTGGCCACTGTTCTCACAGTCATCTTCAATTTCTTGTTGCATCAGGCTGTGGTTCCATCATGTTTTAAGACTGCAATCATTGTACCAGTGCCTCAAAAACCTATCATCACATGCCTTAATGATTACTGTCTAGTTGCATGCACTTCCATGATGATGAAGTGTTTTGAGAGACTGGTAAAGGACTACACATTACAGTTTGCCTATCAGAAAAACAGCTCTGTAGATAATGTACTTTCCTTTGTGCTTCATTTTAGTTTAGCGCATCTAGAGGAAAAGAATATTCATGTGCGAGTAATTGGATACTGGATTTCCTTATTGATAGGTCCCAGTTTGTGTGAGTTGGAAGAAAAGTTTCCAACTCCATCTCCTTGAATATGGGTTCCCCACAGGGCTGTGTCTTGTGTCAGTTAATATTCACCTTGATGACCCATGACTGCTGTGCCAAATCTGCTATGAATCATATTGTGAAGTATGAGGATGACATTGCAGTAGTGGGTCTTATCTGGGACAACAATGAAGATGCTTATAGGGAAGAGGTGAAGGCTGTGGTGGACTGGTGCAATAAAAGTAACCTGATTCTAAATGTTAATAAAACAAAGGATATTATTGTAGATTTTAGAAAGAGCTGTCAAGGATGCAGCTGTAGATGTGATCAGCAATATTAAGTATCTGGGGGTACAGATAAGTAACAATCTGTACTGGTCTCTCCACACATCATCCTTAGTGAAGTGTGCAAACCAGCATCTGCATTTCCTGTGTCGGATGAAGAGAGCACATTTTTCTCCTTCTGCCCTGGCCACAATTGAGAGCATTTTAACACACTGCATCACTGTTTGATTTGGTGGCAGCAGTGCCTCAGATAGAAAGTCCATTCAGAGCATAGAAAGGATAACCGAGAAGATTTTAGGAAGCTCACTTCCTGTTAATCATGATACAGCTTATAGCGCTATGTACTTAGAGCTCAAAGCATCATTAGAGAGCCCACCCACCCATCCACACACTATATGGTGTCAGATCTGTGTATCTGTCATTTCTTCAGTGGAAGAAGAAAAGGGGGGGGGAGGCTGATAAAGAAATCCTTTCTTGATGTAACCTGAATATACTTAATCTTATATCGAATTTGTATAACCCACACATGATACAATGGAGGGAGAAAAGCCAGATGGCCAGAATTATCACCTCTGAGAGGCACAACCAGGAGATGAGAAGATCATAAAAATTCCACAGTGAGATGTGTCTTGGGAATCTCTTGAATAGTTCGTTCTAAAAGGGTGGTGGTGGTGGTGGTGGGAAATTAGGTATGCCCTGGGAAACTGTGAAAAAGATAGTTCCTTACAAGAAGGGTGGGGAGGAATTAACATACTGGCTTTTGTTTCACTAAATACACATCGAGATAAGGGGAAGGATTCTAAACTCCCTTATGTATCCCTGTATGCCTGAGAGACCTCAGACACTGCTTTGAACTCCTACATGAATTGTCTCATCTCAATAAAGGATTCCTTTTTGATACGTTTTGATACATTTTCAGAAGTTCATTCTAGTTGAGTGAATGGGAAAAGTTCTATAGCCTGACATACCGTCTGTTTCTGTTGCTCCTGTCTGGGAGGAGGTTTTGAAGTATTTCTAGCAGGACTACCAGATTATGTAACAGCTTTGTTCCTTATGCCATCCATCTGGCAAACACATTTTTCTCACCATGTACATGTATACATCCGAACTATACTGTGTTGTTTCTCTGTGTCATATATGTGAGTATATACATAATTTTGTATTTATTTATTTAGTCATGTTTATGTTGTAGATGGTGACACTTTGCGACCTGTATGCAACAAAATTTCATTTTATGTATGCCGATTAGTGTACATTCAAAGTGACAAAAAAGTTATTATTCTATTCTATTCTGTTCCATTCCGTTCAATTCCACTCCATTCTATTCTGAGGTGGGGGATGCAACCATTAATTACCTGTATCCACAGTTACCCTCTGCAGATTACTAATCATATTCAATAGGTCATAAGTGTTGGATTTGTCTGAAGCTAGTCTGAGATTAAAATTAAAGGCACCTTCTTGAAGTAGAGTGGGATTGCAATAAATACACAGTTTGATCACATTCCAAGAAGATAGCCTGCTGTTTCACAACAATGTAATTGAATTGATATTATCTCAGAAATAAACTCAGCCACTAGGAGTAAAAATATTTGGGATTGTTCTATTTTACCACTAGAAGTGTATGTTGTGGCATTAATTTTAAATAATTTCAGCTTATTCAATTGTGAGGAGCAATAATTATTTAGAACATCTTCCTTGGACAGCTTTAATGGCTTTTATTGTTTATAAGACTTTTAACCTCATTACAATGCAGATTCTATGTCTCTAAGCCTCCATCAGGTGGAGTAAGAGAATCAGTTAAACTCTAAAATATATCCTAATACTACAGGAATGAACCTGAATGAGTTACTATATTGTATGTTGCATTTCCTTTTCTATACGACTTTACTTTGGGAAGCAAAATATTAGCACCACTATTGGACAGTAAGACTATCAGTTCTGGGCTGCACAATCTGAATGGCCTTTAAATGGCACCAAAGATAAACTTTGAGTGTATTGGACTCCTAAAGAAAAGGGAAAATTGCAGTCCTATCTTCAAGGTAGGTATATTCCTAAGCATTGGTCTGTCATAATATTAAAATGCAACAGGTAGAAAAGAAATTCAGTGACAAGAAATAAGAGATACCAACACATGTCAGTTATAAGATGTTTGTTTTTAGAATTCAAGCTTACATAATAATCTATGCTCACTATAGTCATAATTGCATATTAATATCTGCATACAAAAGCTATGTAAAAATTATATTCTTTCCCCAAATATACAAATTTTTCTTCAGGTAGTTTAAACATTTTTATGATCACAGATTTAATATAGTTTTTAGGCTGAAAAAATATTACCCATCTAGCATATATTTAACACTGTTTGAAGGGGGGAGGGGAGAAAACAAACAAAACACTTAAATTTTATCCCAGAATCTTTAGCCTTTCTAATAAATCTGTATACTTCCAAACTTAGTCTGAAGACATCCAAACCATAACAAGCCTAATCCAAAGCTCAGCAGCATCCATCTTAATAAAATGAAAAGAAATAAAACATTATTTGTGGAATTCTAAAATAATTGACATAAGGAAAAATAATTTAAAGAATTACATGGGTTTTTTTCAAATCCATGGTATGATCTTATTTTTCACTTTCATAATTTCAGTTGCAAAATAAAAATGTATTTTTAATGTTTTACATTGTGCTCAATAATTTACATCAATTCCATCTACATGGATGTAGATTTACATTTGATTGTCTTGTGCATAAATAACAATTAGCTTTATAAAGTTAAACTGTGCAAAACAGATAGTCACACATAGCTTTTTACCTGCACAAAACTGCTTCTGAAGGCAATATAGTTGAAGAAAGATTAATACACAGAAGCAAGGCAGACTCTGCATTTGATAGCACTTATACAACACAGTAAAAACTTAGTGAAAGGCCAAATCTTTTTAAAATTATAGTAATCTCTATTTATGTTTATGTCTTTTAAAAAGAAAGCCTATTTTATTTTAAATTAGTTTTCTTTGTTTTTTGACGAAAATAAATCCCTCCTACTTAAGATATCATGTCTCTATAAAATTTTATATAAGGGTCATATCATCCTAATATCACGAGGAAATTTCTGATCAATTAAATATTAGCAGAAATTACAAGAGAACATAGCTAAATGTCTCCTGTATGTCTTGCTATTTCAAAGCTGCAAAAAGGCAAGCAAAGAAATATTTCTTAGTAGATCATGAATGAGTACACAACTTTATCAACATTTTTCTTAACTATCAAAATGAGGCAGAAACTTGTTCTGGCACCAATGGCTGATAGTGACTTGCCTAATTTATTCATCTTTTTTTAAAAAATCATATGGACTGTATTTGTTTTCTAATAAAGCAAGAACGAGTCTCACAGATTTTGATTCTAATTTCCAGCAGAGGATAGAGGTTATAAAAGCCTAATCCTTCAAAAAATATTGGCTCCATCTGAAAAGCCTTAAGATTTAAAAACCCTAAGAATGATGTTACTGACAATTTATGTGGCATATCAATATGATATCTACATTTTAAGATTACATAGCACAAAATATATCCCTAACAACAATGTGGTCATCCTGTGGTCTACAGAGCTGCATGGGCAGATTTCCTTCCATCAATCAACCATTTTCCTTTTGACTTTGTATTGCCTTTTTAATATCACTTCAGTACATTAACACAAAGATAAATCACAAATGTTCAGCGTCTGATTCTGACACCTATATTTTGGCACAGTGCTGTTGTTTTTAAAATGGCTAAGTCATGTAGAGTCCATCACTATTCTCTCTCTCAATTTAAAAACACTATGGAACTCAATTGCAACATCAAATCCACTGCAGCTTAAATATCTATCATTTAGAGCAGGACACATTAAGCTAACAATTATTTTTAAAAAGAGAAAACATATTTTGTAGAATGCTCCACTTGATACTATACCTACAGCAGAAAACAAACCCGAACAGCATGGGACATCTTAAACAATTAAAGCTGCATAGTCAAAAATTCAGACGTTTTATAGTCAAAACACCTCTCAACAGAGAATGGGTGTAGAATTTACCACTCCCAGTAATCATTTGAAGCTATAGCTGAGGATGCTGCCAGATATATCTTAAAATCTTATACCAGTGCTTGCAGGATTGGCACCACTTTATTTGTCAAAAAGAAACCTGAGGTATCAGATTCTAATAATTTAAAATAGTATGTTTCTCGGGTGTGACTAAAAATAGAAACCATTATAACATGAACCCAGTTACACAGGAAAAAATAAGAGCAACTGGAATCTTGGGGTTGGGATAGCCATTGATGTTGAGAGATTAAGCTTCTACAAATCAAAATGCAGCTTGTGAGTTTTGATGAATGATCACTGAGATTGTCATGCCAATGGATTGTTACAGTCTGAATAGCACAAAGCACATTGAAAACCAAATGAGCCAATTTCATGTATTTTTGTTTAAATGTGGGCTAAGCTTTAGAATACCACATCATAAAGAGCTAATGCAAATCAAAACATATCATTCATTAGATTGTGATCTTGACTGGTTATATGTTTTATACATAGCATATTATAGTTTTCTAGACTGGAACTGTTCCAAAGTAATAGGGAGATTCCTTACTGATCAAGATAAATGGTTGGGAGTAGATATTCTCTTATAGTAATACATTATTGAAAAGCTTTGAAGTATCAGGTTGGATCCAAGATTCTTTCCTTATCCCCTTCAACAAAGGAAAACTTTGGAGTTCTTCTGAAAAATAACCCTAGATTCCATATTTATTACTTTACTTTGAAGAAAATCTCAACATTTCCCCAGGGGACATAAGGTCAAAGGTTAAGTGAGGTACTCTAGTCATTATTGGATGCCCCTTTTCTTTTAGGTCATAAACTTTGACATGTTTACATGGAAGTAAACATTAATATAAATATTTATATTTGGGACAGGGAAGATGAATAGCAAGACTTAGATTTTAGAAATACTATGTTTGCAGCTAAAATATAATCTTATCTATAAAGTTAATAACAGATATGCACAGCATACTTTTTCTATAGCACATTAAAAAAGAGATGGAGATTTAAAAATAAAAATGGCATAGGAAAATGAGAAAATGATAAATCCCCTCTCTAGGGCCTCTCTATACTTCTGCAACTTGGTGATATTCTGGCATGTTGACTAGTAACTTTGAGAATTGAACTCACAATGCATCTAAAAGGAACTAGGTTGCAACAAAAACTTCTGTGAAGGAGGTTATGTGATAAAAGCAGTATTCCACCATAAGCTCCACCTCTTATGTTCACATATTATGACAAAGCACACATGCGTGAAAAGAACTAAAATTTGCAATGCAATAGTGCAATGCTGTCATTATTTTTATGAAAACATCCAGTCTTCTGGACACCTCCAAATTCTGAGAAGGCAGAATTGAACATATAATATAGTACATTTTCATTTTTTTTCTTACCAAATGGGCTGATTGCCACCAAAATTCTTGACAGATATTTTGGCTAGAAAGATATGATCATTTTGGAAAAAAAATTCAAGTCAATTCAATTTTTTTTATGGACAATCATTTTTAGAGATCTCAAGCTAGTAGACAATTCTGACATTATGTAAACGTTTAGATTATCAGAAATTTGTATAAGATAAGAAACTGCATAGTCTATAAAAATCTCTCCAATGACAATATCCTTATATGCCAAATCTGTATGCATACCTAGTTTATCAAAGGAACATGATTCATCCCTTAACCATGAAGCCCCATAAAACAGCATTCCCCAACCTTTCCAGGTTGGCAGCTCAGCATGGGGGAGGGGCAGGTGCAAGCATGCACATACACACAGCTTCATTTGTGTGGAACTCATGCACGTGGAGCTGCAAGTGCTGGTGTCCACCTCTGACGTGAGTGGGACTGTGAGTGCTTATACAACTCATTCGTGTGAGTGGGGCTGCACACATGCGCTGGCTCACAGTTCATACAGCCTGGTTGTGAATAGGCCATGGTAAAGGGCCATAGCCCACAGATTGGGGACCACTACCATAGAAGATAACATCTAGAAGAAAAACAATCCTTGTTAAGGCAAATTCACTGACATCTTGATTTAGGTTGTTATAGAACCAAAACTGTTTTACAGAAACCAATCTGGAATGTTGATATTTGTTTTGTAAAAACTAAAACACTGAAGTCAGCCTGCCATTAAGAAGCATTTCTTCTCTGTAATTCATATAGACTGAAAGTTTTACTGCATGGTTTGACATTTGCTGACAAGGACTACCATTTGTAGATTGTAAATCAAGTGTATTTAAACCATTAAAAATAACTTAAATGCAATACACCTAACCCTGCACTGAACTGTGGTCATGAATGGGAGACTATTGGGTGCATATACATTGAAAAGACTTCTGTTGTCAATGGAATTAAGCATGTCTGAAAACAATATTATAATTCAAATGTTGTCCATAGTGACAGTCTACCTGAGTGCAACACCACTAAAGAGGATAAAATGATTTGGAATCTAGAATTTTAGCTATTCATTTGGAATAAGATCCAAAAGCTTGACTGTACCTTAACAATTTACATTCTGTCAAATCTTTTTTCTTGAAACGGATTTCCATGTCATAGCGTGTGATACTTTGTTCACAAAAAGTTAAAGGCCCATATCTCTTGGCTGTATAAAATGAGATTCACAAATCCTCGGATTCAGGTTACTGATTTACAGTCACTGAAAGGGTGAGGGTATACAGGTAGAAAAAAGATATATGACTATACAAAACAGGTTTATTACAGATAACTGGAATTAATTTTTGTTGAGTTGGGGGAAAAGACAGAGAAAACCTTTCTGTATTAAATTGGAAATAATTCATTGCACATGTTTTATGGTTTAGGAATTGCAGGCACTAGTAGAGACAAAATGGATGAACCAGGGGGAATCCTTAAAGTCATTATCATGTGAATATTTAAAAACATATAAATGGCAAGGGCACAAAATAACTGAGAATAGTAGTAGTATGTCTTGCTACTAACTCAAAATAATTTTGGGCAAGTGGGAGAAATATAGTTAACTATGTCTCTAATGTATCCAAATTACCACTAAGAAGAAAAGAGATCAAGGGCCTTGGCTCTGTGGAAATTTTAAATGTACTTATTTCTTCCTGTATTGTTTTTATTTTTGGACTGAATAAGAGGAAATGAGAAGCTATGTTCACCTGGGGGAAAAATAGGACTGGGTGCATTCTGGAGCTTTTTACAAAGGTAGTCCTCACTAAACAACCATAATTTGGATCGGGTGATTAAGCAAAGCATCACATGACTGCTGGATTTAAGGTGTCACTCACGCTGCTAAGCAAATCACCCATGGTCATTAAAGCAAGATATCACACAACTGCGACTTGTGATTTTACTGGTGGCTTTTTCATTAACTCTGCTTAATGGAAGCTGGCACAAATAGCAACCATGTGATTGTGGGCTGCTGTGTTCATTGTAAAGAACTCAAATATCAATTACATAACCGTGGGGATGCTGCAATGGTCATAAGTGCAAGGACCAATCATAGTTACTTTTTCAGTCTCTATAATTGAACACTTGCTAAACAGGGCAGCCATTAACTGAGGATTACCTGGAATTGAATGTCTAAAATACTCATAACAACCTGAAAATGATGATGAAATTATGATTATGGTGGGAAGTTTTACTTGGATAAAACTATCTATTTTTAAGCATGGCAAGGTGAAATTAGACATAGCTAAAGTTGCAATCCTCTACTTGGTTATCTGGGAGAACACTGCAATGAACTCAATATATCTGAATTATAGTTCAAGTTGTATATAACTGCAAACTGATTGCATTTGATCTTCAGCAAGATTAACACTTGCTAGATTGTTCTGAATTCTTCAGCAGAAGTCTCATGTCTAGAAGTGAGTTAACACTGTATAAAATATGGCAGGATTTATCTATCCTTTTCTTGCTTCCTCAATTTATTAATATTTTACCCATATCTCTCCAAACAATCAATATAAACATGGGTCGCCTGAGTGCTGGTGAATAAACTTAAAATTCTTGAGGTTAAACTCTCGAAGGATTCACATCAAAAGGAGTAATGGACACACAAAAAACGCAATTGTGACAAGTACCCGCATTGAAGGGATATCTTCATTCATTCATGCCTATTAAAAATAATCCTCCAAAGGAGGCGGTACAAAATGGGAATGGACCAAAAGTAAGAAGAAAAAACTAGGCAATGGAATGAAATGACACCCAGTAGTGCTATAGAATCTCTGAGAATCTTTCCAGTCTTTTTAATCCTCAAATACTTCCAGGAACAAAGGAGGAAAGAGTTCTGTGGGGCATTCCACCTTCATGTGCAGGAAGCGGCTAGCATGGCAGGCTCCGATCATTCGTAGGTCCGTCACTTTCATCAGCAGTTTTGGCCAAAAGTGTGCAATATGGTGCTTTCTGTAATTAATATAGTGTTCAAATGCCAAGAGGAAGCTTTCTTGACACTTTTCTATTCTTTCAATGCTGACAAGACCTGGGCGATCTGTAAATATAAGATTTAGATTTTAAAAAATTAAAAACTTTTATTCACCTTAAAAAGTATATTTTGCAAAGTGCAAATAGAACCAAAATGATTTCCACTACATTTCCCCAGGCTGCATAACTTGAATCTTTGCATGATCCTTGTGAGCTAGTAACTTGGGAAAAGGTACTATTGATGGGAAAAGCAAGTCTGGTTTTTTGGGGTATTACAGATGAATTGTGGCTGGTGTGTGTGTGTGTGTGTGTGTGGGTGGGTGGGTGGGTGGGTGGGTGGGTGTGATGCACACAATCAGGTGATCAAAGCCTTCCTTTTAAAATTTGCATCATATGCTTAAAAATGTCTCAGGTTTGAGTTACCTGGTTGTGGCAGCTATTTTCACAAAATTAAATTGTATCCCTGTGGATAGTTGATTTTTGGACATTGTTAAAGTGGACATAAGTTGGGACCTGTTGCATTCACTGGAAAACTCAATGATCTATCAACTTGGATGATATAATGCAACAGTTCACTCTGTTGAATCTGAAATTGCAAACTCTGTTGCAATATTTCAATTGCATAAAATCAATTTGTCAGCTATATTGTATCCCGAATGCTTTTTCATGACTTTTGGATTATACTGTCCCACACACTCATGCTCAATACTGCTGAAATTTGGTAGCAAATATAAATGCCAAAATTTATCCTAATTTTTTTTTTTTTTTAAAAAGTAAAAGCTAGTGCAATAAGCTTCCACTGGAGGGAGACAGTCTATCAGAGACAGAGAAGTAAACAGGCTGAAAGTTGTTTCTTTAAAGAATTGATTAGATCATTACTTCCAATTTTTCGAGAGCTGCCCGCTCTCAGAACATTCCTTTTTCCTTACGTATTCTTTCTTTTGTTTAGTATTCATTGCAAAAAAAACCAACTGGCTATAACAGTTGGATGACAACCAAATAAAGTTTCTTGCAAGACTAGTTCTTTTCTTCTTTACTCAATGGTAACTACATTTTTGGAACAGCAATTTTGCTAAAGGAGTTAACTTTTGTTCCTAGCCTCTCAAGTCATGGTCAGGATTTCATTTTTCCCATTAAAGTTGATCTGTGAGCTACATCCATTTCTTGACTCTTCTAATTTTATTCTCAGAGCTCAGAGCAATGTGAATTGTTCATCTCAGAGGTCTATGAATAAAAGGATAAAAATGAGGCTGAGACATAGCAACTGACTCCAGATCAAATGAAAGTTTCAGAGTTGAGAAGATTCTGATGATCTAGCCACTAAACCACACTGATCTCTGGACTAACCACAGATATTAAGACCTAAATAATATGTAAGGTCCTTGAAAGTCCACTAATAAAAACCTATACAAAATTAAAAGGGAAAGGGGAGCAAAAGCAAATGTTTTATTTTTAATTCCTTGGTGATTACATTATAAAATTCACAACATCATTTTGAAATAAATTCTTAACAGCTATTTGATCTGCTATAGATAAGACAGCAACCATGTTAAGCTTTGCCTAGGATTCTTTTATGTGCTAGACCATATGGCAAAAAATTACACCATAATGTTTGTCCATATTCATATATAATCACAAGCAGACAAGAACTTGGGCTCTGCTAAGGAGCAAGCATAGGATACAGAAAACATAGCAAAGTGGTGGATATCCTTACCACAAGTAATCCCACATATCTTCACATACAACTACCGGTAATCCTATGAGCTTAATGTCACTAAAGATCTTAAGCATCTCAAAATACATTCAGCAAAAGACAAAAAACAATAATTCTAAAACAAAGCTTGCTCATATTAAGAATGGCATAGACTGTCAATTATATCTATATTATTATAAAAGCACGTATAATATATTTTTTTAAAAAAGTTGTGGATTTAACAAATTGGTTTTTTTATGTTCTAAAGAAGTGCAGGTGTGGAATGATTGTCTCTCTTCTTGCATCATTACCAATGGAAGGGAAATCAAATAAACCAGAGCTCACAGAGCTCACAGCTCATATGTGGAAAAATTGGCCCTTTCTTTTTTAGTGGAATACTTGAAATAGCAAAGGTTTTTATGGAGACATCTATCTCAAAAGGAGGAAAAACTGCTGTATTATAGTTCCTGAATGCCATGAAATCAGCACTGTATAATACATGATTTTTTTTTGACATTGTCATCTAATTTTTATTATGTATGTTTGAAAGAGTGTGAATCTTTCTAGAAGATTACAGATCCTTAACAGGTAAGGATATTGATTTATAATATTTAAAAAATGTTCACACTCACCTGAAGACATCAGCAGTACAGCCTGAAGAAGAGCAACTTCTGTGTCGTCAAGGTTGAACGATGATAGCGACATACCCAAGTCAAAAATGGCATCTGATACTACACCAAGACCCCCATTTTTCAACTGGCCTCTTGTTACTGCCATTTCTCCATTTAGTGTTAATGTCTCACTTTCTGGGTCGTAACGCACTGCTGCTCTGAGGGACATGATCTCCATGCAACAACCTTTCAGAAGTATAATTTGATCTTCACATGGCAGCTGCAAATAATTGCAAGTGGAATAAATTTTCCCATGGGAAAAATAATTTTCTGTATAATAAAAACAAACATAAAAACAAATCTTCCCCATTATGGGGTACTTCTAGAGACTTTACTAGAGACTATCCCTGCCACATTCACAGAACATTAGGACCCTTTAAATAATTGTTAATAATATTTTCTTTTTTCACCTTAGTTTCCATAGAAAATTCTCAAAAAGGAGAAACAGCTATACAATATATTTTGCCTGAAACCATCCATTTAGAAGCCCTGTTAATTTTTAATTTCAGACTTTTAAAATGGTTAAAATCTGTTTAGAGCAATATCAGTTGTATACACAGTATACCTAGACTTTCTCCTATATTGCTGACCAAAAACCAATCTGCAAGTTATTTCTAAGTTTGATCTTTTTAGGATTCATGATGGTGGTGATTAGAGAGTGAACAAAGTTGGCAACTTCATATTCAAAACATTTTTTTCATTGAGTATTATTATTAAACCAGTTTATAAACCGCTAATTCTATAGAAATAGAAATCAACAAAATATTCAGAAAAGAATACCATCCTGGTTTTGTGTGTCAAATGGTTATTAATTATGCTAATAAAAGTCTCATTTCATGTGAAATGAGAAGACATTTATTTTTTAACTATGAATGCTTTCTTCCTCTGTCTGTAGGGTGAGAAAGGGGAGATTTTTCTTACAGATGTGGTGATTACATTTAGCATTGCCAAAACCATTCTGAGAAGCAACAAAAGTTTGCCTTCATAAATTGAAAGCCATACCTTAATGACAGAAGAATTGTTGGCAAGTAGGTGGGCTTAGAAAAATGACAAAATAAGTAAAATAAAAAAGAATTTTAAACAAGAGTTCATATGGAAAAACAAATATTATATTTCCCCCATTGCTTCCTTCTCTTCTTCTTTCTCCTCTTCCTCCTCCTCCTTTTCTTTTCTTCATTTGTCAGGCTTGAGGAGTACAGTGATTGGTTTACTGTTAGCTTAATTGAGCTATACATTGATTTTCCTGAACAGCAGGCAAAATAATCTATACTGGAAAGGGAGTCATTGTGAAAGATACAACAACCACATTCATTTTCTAAGAAAGTAATGCTTTTTTTTTATATAGGAGAGGCAAAATAGAAATAAAGAAAAAAAAGGAAAATAGAGGGATAAACTATCAATATTTATTTTGAGATCATTTTAAAATTAAAACAATTTCTTCAATATTATTGCTATCAGCCTTGTACCATATGCTTCTGCAAAGGAGGAGAATTTTACAAAACAGGTGAAAAACTACAGAATAGGTAAAATGGTTATAAAATTATTGAATACTTCCCTGGATTGTAAGAGAGCCAGTTTGTTGCAATTGTTACATTTCTTTTTATTGTTCTGTAATGAACAATAAAAACGGTTACTTAAAACTGAAATGGCAGTATTTTATACTGTATGTATCTGAGATATATTTCAGTGCTTTTGTCACAAACGTATGTATTCCGGGCAGTATTTTATATGGACAAAATGTACTTCACTGCTTTTTACTGCAAACTTACATACAAATCATGCATTTTCTCCTATAAGCTAAACAGCACTGAAGTACATTTAGAAACAATAAGAGGGGGGATAGGAAGAGGAGGGAAGGAAGGAAGGAAGGAAGGAAGGAAGGAAGGAAGGAAGGAAGGAAGGAAGGAAGGAAGGAAGGAAGGAAGGAAGGAAGGAAGGAAGGAAGGAAAGAAAGAAAGAAAGAAAGAAAGTGAGGTTCAGAAGCATCTTGAGATGGGTATATCTAGTGTAAGAAACAATAGCTAAAGTTGTTATGTTGAAACTGTAATTCTCACTACTCTCTAACAATAAGAATGTTATGTTTCCTCTTGCTCTTGTTTGCGGATTGGAATGAATGTTTCTTGTTGGCTATCTTATATCCAGCAAACTGCTGCAATTCCGAGTGAGATCATCTTGGAGAATAAAAGTTGAATTTCAGTTGGATTCAGTGACATAGGGCTCCTAATGGGGAGAATAACATGAACAGAGGTAGACAGCATCTGTGCTGTTTCTTTGCAATCTAGTACTAGATGCTGTGCTTTCAAATGAATGCTTTAAAAATATATCTGTACCATTATATTTCCAGTCATCTTTAATCACAGAGCTTTGTACATTTCCTTGTTGAAATGCTCTAGATACTGTTTCAATTTTTAAGAAACATATCCAAATAATATTGCTACCCAATGTGAAGCAAATCTGTTAAATAATAGATCTAATAATGCAGTATCATATAAAGTGATATTGTAAAATATAATGAATACATATCGTCCATATTGCTAAAATTATGACTCTCAGTATCCAGGTATCTTGAAGACTATGCTAAAGATAGTGGCAGTTTATCTGGAGGGTCATAATTTTCCTCCCCACTCCCTGTTTAACAATATTATCTGAAGACTAGATATTTCAAGCATGACATTTAGATTAACATTTTTGTTTTGTTTCATATCAACCCCAATTGCAAAGATCCTCAGTCATGGAGTCTATGAAAGTTTAACATGCTTAGATTAGGATTAGTCTGAGGTGGGTAAAATGAGGACCCAAAATTGTTGGGGGCAATATGCTGATTCTGTAAACTGCTTAGAGAGAGCTGTAAAGCATTATAAAATGGTATATAAGTCTAAGTGCTATTGGTATTATATCAGAAAATGCTTCTGTTCAGGTTGAGTGAAAAGCTGTTTTATTTCATACATATCCCACTAACAGGCAAATTATATGATATGCTAAATATGTACTGTCAATTCTCCCTTTTTGAAAAGTTGAAGAATACATCTAGGCTGCCCAGAATTGTTTTGGTTACTGAGATGGGCAACAAGTAAATTGAATAAATAAGCAAACAAAGTGGACATATCTGAACTGACATTACCACAGAATGAAAAACTTAAGCTTAGGTGCCATGAAAACTATCCAAAATTGTATGTGCGGAAATGGGCAAATAGTCTCAATTTGGATTGAACACACTTTACTTATAATAATATGAAAAGAGAAGTCCAACAGCACACTCTATGTTCAATGTATTCCATATTAAGTTGTTCATCTATGGCCCTGTCCTCATCCCTTTCGCCTTCTCCATGGAAAACAGCATCAGTCTGAGTGTAGTCCTTTTCTCCATCTCTATGCTCAAAAAGAATGGTCAAGGCGAGAAAATAGTGCAAAGAAGTACATGATCAAGTTCTTATAGCAGCAACAATATTCTGGACAATGGCCTGCTGCTATTGTTCACCAAGAGATTTTCTACTTTGGAATATAATGGGGTTGGAGGAGATCTTAATATGAAGCCACAGCCAGCAAATTAGCCATACTAAGCTATTAAAAGGGAAGTAACAAATTGTTAAGCATGATAAAAATACATAATTTATCCATAAAATGTCCCCTCTTCCAGGGCAGCTCTGATGTACACAAAAAATAAGCTGAAAAAGAAATGCTTTCTTAAGTATGCTTTATAGCTTGTTACAAAAATGACTATAGATTGTTCAATTATATAGCACCTACATTTGAATGATGCTTTATTCAATATTAAATTTTACTTTGATTTGAATCATTATCATTCACTTAGATAAGGAAGAGTTGCACATGTATTTTTGTATTTTTATAGCTTCCTTTTAATTCTAAGGAGATATATGTAGTGGCACAGGGATTTCAGATCCTATCTTGATAAACAGTAAGTGAAGATTCTGAAATCCTAGCATACATAATAAATGCAGTTCTTAGCCCTTTGAATGAATTCATGTTGCTACTTTAAACCAGAGATAGACAATATTTCATGGGTTTAGGTCTGCAAAACTGATGCCTGGCTTTGGAAGGGCTACAGAAAGCCATCTGGCAATACTGTGATGATACTAGAAAAAGAAATGAATTAGACTTTTCAGGGCATTGGTAGAATTTGTTTGGCCCATTTACAGGTACTTCAAGAGTACTTTAAACTATCTAAATTCCCCCCAAAAGGGGCAAGGTTGAATTAAATATAGTAACAGAGGGAAAATACTCCTATTACAGCCTGAAAAATCATTGAAAACTCTAAGAAAAGTCTAATTTGTGTTGTCAAAGGATCCTATATTTTAGCCCACTTGTATTGGGTGCCTATATGCACAACATGGACCATAATTTTTATTTTTTTGTTCTGAACTAAGTTAATACAAAATAAGTTAATACAAAACATCTATCAACAACAATAATAATATTAACAATAAAACTGCTACCAAAAACCAAAACAAATTAAATAGAAAAGGAATTCATACCTCACAGAACATAGGCAACTTTTTGGCAAAATCCACCACTCTTGTGATTGCTGGTGTGATAATTTTTGTAAACTGGCTGAAAGCTTCTAAATCTACTTTCCCACCTTCTGGGGCATTTACTATTGGTGCTTGTCCAATATCCTCTGGCTAACAACAGAAGACAAAAACAATGTAAGAATGTAATTTATTTACCATAAATATGGATTCTTTTTAAAACTTTGTGCAATGTTGGCAACTTAATTTTGCTTGATTTTAAGTCTTGGATACTGTGTAAGATAAACTTATATCCATGTACATATGTTTTGAGATACCAGTGCTTATTTGTGTAATAATCTGTATAAATTGCAAGTGTAATTACTACTTGCTAATTAAAAAAAATAATGGAAGCAGTGTGGCAGCTTATACATAAAAACCTATATCTAAGGATGTACCATAGCCCATCTAAGAATATTCTTTCTTTGAAATCTAAAAAAATAGCCCATATTAACTCTTGCATAAACTGTATTTCTCACGTTTATTATGTATGTACAGTATATAAATATGTATGCATGCATTTATATAGTTACTACATTTTTATGTATTGTTATTCCTTTTGTTTTTGGTTCAGAGACACTCCTATCTTTCACTGAAAGTTCTAACAAAGAAAGAGTATTTCTTCAGCTGGAATAGACTGACAGATAAGATAAATAGATAGGAAAGGAATCAGTAAGGACTTTTCAACTTTTTATTACCTGCTTTTGGAAATGCAATTAAGTTTAGAGGTTCAACTCAAAGTTATATAAGATTCTATTTCCTGTCTCTTAATCTATAGCTGTATAACTTGTTCATTCCCTACCCTGATATTTAAATTAAGATGCACCACTGGAATATCTGAAAGACTGGATTGGGGACAGGTCATAATGGAGAAAATCTTTATAGTTGCTAAGAGTCAACACTGGCTTAATAACACATAATCAATCCATCAATCACTCAATCGATTCTAATTACTTGGAAAAGAAAAGTGGTTGCAATTCTATGGCTATGTCCAAATTAAAATGAGAAAGAACAAGAAAAATTGACAAAGTCTGTTGACAAGTCAATTCTAATTTCTTCTGATGTCTTCCCAAAAGACTGCAGCACCAAAGCACAAAAATACAAAAGGCTCTTCAGTAATCTGCTGAAGCATAGGAATGATACTATTCTAGAATTTTTAGCTTATATTTAAAATAAATATAATTTATAAAAAAAATATAATTCATAATACTGGCTATGAATAAGTTGGAAGAGTACCTACAACTTATTGATACTCTTCCAACTTATTCATAGCCAGTATTATGTCCTTAAACAGGATATTTTGGTTGGATGCTCTAGATCCAATTTCCTATTCCATATGGGATTTCAGGATTGACCAGAAGTGCAACCTCACTTTCTGCCTTAAGGATCCTTCTGAAATTTCAAGTATTTATTAACAAACAATTTCATTGCTCGATTATGTTTTTGTTTACTAGTAGAGTTCAATTCAAAGGTAATTTCTGCACTTGAATAGCACTAGATGTGTTTTTGCTTAGAATTCATGTACTCGGAATCCAAATTCAAATAATTGTCTAGTTCAAATTAATAAAGAAGCTGATACATAACCATGTGAGATGTAGGTTCAATCAAAAGAAAATAAAAATAGTGTACACTATTGATGAATCTGATAGTTATCTGACACAGAATTTTCTATTTAGCAGTAGTCAACTACCTACTATAGAGCCTACTGTTTATTTTTATCTCAAAAAAATTTCTGCATTCTTCATGGATATGTATACTTTCACTATGCTTCAGCACATAAAAAAGCTCCCATAAAGGTTTCTGGTGTTAACATTCAGTATCTATGAATTAAAACTCTAGTACTTAATTTACAAGAATTGGGATTAGCATTTCTCTCACTAAGCAATGCAGTCATTTAGTAAGTGGTGCCCAATTTTTCCATCTTTTTTGCTGTGGTTGTTAAGCAAATCACATGGTCGTTAAGTAAATCCAGATTCCACAATAAGTTTGCTTGTTGGAAGCCTCCTAGGAAGCTCACAAATGGTGATCATGTGACCCAGGATGCCTCAGCTGTCATAAATTAATGTCAACTGCAAATGCTCAAATTGCCCACATTTTGATTACATGACTGTGGAAACAGTGTTGGTAGTAAGTAAGACCAATCATAAATAACCTTTTTCAGAGCTGTAATAACTTTGGAAGGTCATTAAATGAAAGATTGAAAGACGAGAGCTAACTTTATAGTCATAGAAATTATGTCACCTAATAAAAAATGATTTATCCAGTTTTCTTCTGATATTGCTATTGACAGCTATTAGTACCGATATTAAATTATTATATGTAGTGTATTTGTTTATTTGTGTGATAGATATCTCTCTGTGTTGTATGATTTTACAATTAGATGAAAATAAGAAACTCTTATAAATTTAAACAAATACTCTAAATTAACTCTTCTAACCGACATGCACTGGTTATTCCATGGACTACTATTTTTCCTACGTCCTTTTTATACTATTGATGGAATGATTTATTCCTTATTAATATGGGTTGATGGATAAACCACTGGGGGCAGCAAATAGATGTGTGTGTGTGTGTGTGTGTGTGTGTGTGTGTGTATCTGTGTGTGGTTTTGGCAGCCATCTAAGTGCTGTAAAATGAAGTTTGAGCAAAGATTTTGCTCTGGTAATTGGTTTAGGAACAGTAAAGTATTTTAAGAATATTATGTGAAAAAATGAAATAAAGGACCAGGGCTTTCTTCGGATCAGGATCCACTGGAAAGGAAATGCCTCATTTCATAGGCCAAAGAAATGCAACAGTCACATATTTTCAATTACAGTTCCAATTAAATTAATTTAGCCAAGGATGGGGTAATAATTTTAGGGCTTCCCATTCTCCATGTCTACCTGATTATCCCAGTTACAACAGAAAAAAATAGAGTGACAGTGAAAGTTGGAGTTCTGATGTCCCTCACAACCAAACCAGTCCAGTCAATGAGACAGAATTTGAAGCCAAATAGATAGCTGCTTCGTACTATATCATGTCCTAGCATTTCTTCATGCACTATGATTTTGCAGATGGAAGATCTTGCATTTAGATAGCAGGGAAAACCCTTGAAGAAAAAAGGATATTTGTACTGCCTTCACTGTGGGCTGGTGATATATTGTACTGCTTAAGTATATATGCTTTGGAAATAATGGGTTGTCTTCATTCAGGGCAAGGAGCTGCATGGATGAGGCCACTGGAAGTGCAGCATACCAGTGTCTTACTAATTAGTCGACAATCAATTAACTCTCATCATTGGAAAACATTTTGTAACAGTCAACTGGAAACTGTCTTTTCATAATTTAATATAATTAAGATTCTACTTTCTGGAGCAAAATAACCTATTGCTATTGTCCCACTTTAATGTAATTAATGTAGGAAAATCATTGTGATAATCCCTAATTTGAACATTTACACTTCATTTTTTACTTTTCAAAGATTTCCTAAAAGTGACTATATTGTCTTAGTTTTGTCCATTTAATTTAGAAGATGCACAACCTCAGATTCTCCACGCCCTCGTCTAAAGGTATTACTGAATTATAGTTTTTACTATGATAGGAGGAAAAATTGTAAATAAATTGGGAATAATCATATAAAAGCATAAACTTCAATTAATGTAATTTTAGTTTTCTTTAACATTGTTTCTACCCATTTTTTTTATCCTGCTCTAGAATCAAAAGACTGTGGACCTTTGACTGAAAAAAGTTTCCTCAGTTGGTTTAAAATTATCTCCAACATCTAACAGAGGAAACTCTGGAATGCTTGAAAGCTCCTGTAATACAATATGTTTCTTTTTTTTAAAGTAACAAATTGATGATTCCTATATTTTTCTACCATTATTCAAAACTTAACCCTTTTCCTGTAGGAAGAGCTCTTATAATTTGAAAATAACATCAAGTTAAAAATATAAAATGGATAAGGATAATAATTTGTAATATTTAGTCTCTATTAAAATAGAATAGTTGAATACTAGAACTTGGCATAAGAATATAAAAAAATAACAGTCTATATGCTATGATAGTCCCAATGACATTGGTGGCTTCCATGGAGTTTTATCAGATGATTACTATTAAGGATTTTTGTTCACTTATTGCAATAACTATGTGAGGAATAACCATGTGTTCATAATTTATTGTGTTAATTATTGCATGGTACAACAAAACTCTTTTCTCCATTTAGTAAGTATGCTGTATTATTAATTTACTACTTGTGCCTTAAAATATGATGCACTAGTACAGATAGTATTAAAACACAGTTAAACAAATGAACGGAGGGCCAGTATATCAAGGAACATTAAGCAGGATTGTTACATGCATCATACAGTTCAGACATAGAGGGCAATGGACTCCTACCGTTCAAACCTTTGACAGCTTAGGGTGGCATTTACATCTGGCAGGAGCTCAAGGGTGGCAGTGAATGGGGTGATAAATGCAAATGGATGAGCTAAAATTTGCTTTCCTCAGTTTGGAGGAAGGATTTTGAGATCTTTGTTTATTTGTAGCTATGTTCATCCTACAATATAGATTTTAGGTTTTATTCCCATCAAAATGGTAAAAATCCATCCTATGAATGTTCAGCAAGTACATTTACTGTGATGTGTACTTTCACCACAGAGCTCATCTGGACAGGAAAAGGCAGCTTTAAACTGTTGTAGTACATACCAAAAATTTCCTCTTCTGTTTCCAGTGACTTCCTTGTGCATTTGTGGCCACATGTGCTTCTGTAACAATTTTAATAAGCTCCCATTCTTCATCAGTTGGTTCAGGTTTCACTCCTATTGTTTTCTGTAATTCTTCTCGACGTCTTTTCTCCCGATTTTCTTCAATCAGTTTTCTTTTTGCTAGTCGTTTGCTGTCATCCAACACCACTAATGAGAAAACAATGTATTACAAAAAAAGGAGACTAGAAATGCTTCTTATATGGACCTCAATATCTCTTTTGATGATTCAGGTAATATCTATGTTTGGTAGTGGACAAATAGCAGAATGATTAGCTAGGGCAAAATCTGGAACTTTTATCATCAAGCACATATAATCACAATATAATCTGGAACTTTTATAATCAAGCACATCCTCCAAAACCAAGCTATTATGTCTGGCTTATTCTATGCTGTACAAGTTGAGCTTCAAAAAAAAAAAAAATCCTTGTCAGGTCTTTTTGAAGAGGCATCATGCCTTCAAGATCAAAAGATGACACACAGAATCTTTGGATTAAATATTTCAATTTTGTGTACTTTTCAAAACAAGAACGAATGCAAAAATAGCTGGGATAATCACATAATTTTCCATATCCAATGAAAATACATATGAGGAAATCATGGAATTATTCCACTACAGCCTGTAAGGGTAAGGTGAAAGAGCCTCACATGAATGTTCTGCTTTGTGTATATCTGAAGGGCTCAACCACCTAAAAAAAAAGAATCCTGGCTGACCATGAATTGACTGTCATATAGAAGAGCCTCAAGTACAAACTTTCTCTTCACATAGCCACTGAATAAGGCATTTATGAGGCCTTTCTCATATCATGAAGATGCATTCTCCTCTGCTGGAGACTGGAGACTGGAGAATATATGGAGTGTCACTGCCCTCAAATGAAAGTATGATTTCTGCTGCTGTTTATTGTGTTATTGAGAGAGACCGGGGGCATGGCACAAAGGCAACACAGTCACATAAGTAAGAAGAGTCCCTTTAATACCTTCAACTTTGCCCCTGGTGTCCCAGTTATCTTCAGCTGGAGAAAAAACTCTCCCAAGAACAGTCTTTAAGTGGAAGAAATTCAGTCCCAAAACTAAGTATATAAAAACTGTAAATAAAAATCCACACAAACCACTCTGCAGCAATTAACTTGACAGGGCAGGATAAGGAATTGCAGACTTGAAAGGCCAACAGAACACACACAATTGGGAAGATGCCAGGAACCTCATGCTCTGCCCCATTGCACTCACCTCATTTTCCTGGTCAGCAGATCTGTGGTGGCCCTGGTCTTAGACTTCTGCTTTTAAATGTGAGATCAGCTTGCAATAAGGCTAGCCTTATTGCCGATTTGATCCTTGAAGAGAAGGCTGATCTGGCTTGTATAACTGAAACTTGGCTGAGCCCAGAGGGAGGCGTTCCTCTTGCAGAAATGTGCCCAGTGGGTTAACGAGCATGGCACCAGTCTAGAGCTCAGGGTTGGGGAGGAGGTGTGGCTGTTGTTATCAGAGAATCTCTAGTAGCCTCCAGAGGCACTGTTCAACAAGTCCCCGGCTGTGAGGCCTTTTTTCTTAGATTGGACTCAAGGGATCAGGTGGGATTGCTGCTGCTATACCAGCCTACCTGCTGTGTGACAGCTTCTCTACCTAGGCTCTTGGACCTCACTGCAGGACTGGCAGTGGAATTCCTCAGGCTTATAGTTTTGGGGGATTTCAACCTGCCTTCTCTGGGGCTGGGGTCGGAGGTAGTCTGAGATTTTATAGAAACCATGACTTCCATGGGCCTTTCCCAGATTATCCAGACCCTGACTAGTAATAGTGGTCACACTCCCAATTTGGTGTTCTTGTTGGAGCAGTGTCTATGTGACCTCGAATTCGTAGACCTCTACCAATTGTCATGGTCATGGTCCCCTTGTCATGGTCAGATCACAGTCTGGTGGCAATGAGTTCCTCAAAAGCTGCATCCCCCCGCAGGGAGACAGGACCTATTAGATTGGTCCGTCCCCATTGATTAATGGACCCAGATAGGTTCCAGAAGGAGTTGGGGGTTATAACTACAGATCTATTATGCAGTCCAGCTGAGCTCTTAGTCACTGTTTGGAATAGGAAGGTGACTGAGGCCCTGGATAAGATTGCACCCTTGCGACCTCTCCTCACCCATAGAACTCTCTGTGCCCCATGGTATACAAAAGAACTGAGAGGGATGAAACACACGAGGAGACGTCTAGGGCACCGCTGGTGGAAGACAGGAGATGAACTCGATTGAACACGGGTAAGAGCTGCTTCTAAGGCCTACCTTGTGGCAATTCATGAGCCGAAGTGTAAATACTTCTCCACACTAATTGCATCTGCAGATAATCGCCCAGTGACCCCCTTTAAAGTGAGCCATCTCCTCTTAGGGAAGAAGGAGATTGAGGTCCACCTGAAGGGACACACTGAGGAATTTGCGGATTTTCTGGAAGACAAAATCGCTCGACTTTGTTCCCAGTTAGATGCCGGCATGGTTGCTGACCGGTGGAAGCTTCTGAGGCAGGTTCTTGTCCTGTTATCTGGGAACGGTTTGTCCCTGTTGCTCCTGAGGAAGTGGACAGGATCCTAGGGAGTATGTGTGCGGGCACCTGTATTTTAGACCCATGTCCCTCCTGGCTTGTGAAAGCTTCCCAAGAGGTGACAAGCGGGTGGACTCTGGCGGTGATTAATGCTTCTCTACAAGAGGGGACGGTGCCCCAGCATTTTAAGGACTGTGGTCTGCCCTCTTCTTAAGAAGCCATCGCTAGACTCCACCCGGTTGGATAATTTCCGACCTGTCTCCAATCTTCCCTTTTTGGGGAAGGTGGTTGAGAAGGTGGTTGCGCAGCAGCTCCAGAGGTTTCTGGATGAAACGGATTATCTGGACCCCTACCAGTCAGGATTCAGGTCTGGATTTGGGACAGAAACAGCATTGGCTGCACTTTTGGATGATCTCTGGTGAAAACAGGATGGGGGTAGTGCATCCATCCTTGCTCTACGTGACCTCTCAGTGACTTTTGATACCATTGATCATGGGATTCTCCTGGGACGGCTTCAGGGGATGGGAGTGGGTGAGTGTTCACTTCCTTCCTCTGCGGCTATTCTCAGTCAGTGTTAATAGGAGGGGAGAGATCCAACCCTTGTCCACTGCTTTACGGGGTTCCACAGAGCTTGGTACTCTCTCTGCTCCTGTTCAACATTTATATGAAACTGCTGGATGAGATCATCCATCACAATGGACTGAGGTATCACCAATATGCTGATGATACCCAGCTGTATGTCTCGGCCCATGGAGTTGCTGTGTTCTCCCTCTCACAATTCCTGGAGGCTGTTAGCAGCTGGATGGGAAGCAATGGGTTGAAACTAAACCCATGCAAGACTGAGTGGCTCTGGGTCTAGGGTTCATTGGTTCAGGGAGAATTACCACCTTTAGTCTTGGATGGGGTGGCACTACCCCAAACAGACCCTGTGCGTAATCTGGGGGTTCTCCTGAATTCACGACTCCTGTTCAAAGAGCAGGTGGAAGTCGTGGCCAGGAGTGCCTTTGCGCAACTGCGGGTTGTGCATCAGTTATGCCCTTTCCTGGATCAGCGGTCCCTACTCACAGTCACTTATGCCCTGGTCATTTCCCGTCTTGATTATTGCAAAACGCTCTACATGGGGCTGCCCTTGAAGAACATCCGGAAGCTCCAGTTGGTGCAAAATGCAGCGACCTGCATGGTTTTATGCAGACCCTGATGTGCACATGTATTACCTCTCCTGCAGGAGCTGCATTGGCTGCCAATTTGCTTCCGGGTGCAATTCAAGGTGCTGGTTGTCACCTTTAAAGCTCTTATGGCTTGGGTCTGGGTTATCTGAGGAAACATCTCTTGCCAGTGACATCTACCCAACCCATTAGAGAGAGGAGGCAGGGAATGCTGCGGGTCCCACCCCTGAGGGAGATACACCTGGTGGGACCTAGAAGAAGGGCCTTCTCTGTGGTGGCTCTATCTCTCCGGAACATCATTCGCTCAGAGATTAGAATGGCCCCCTCATTAATACTATTCTGAAAGGCACTGAAGACCTGGTTTTGCCAGAGGGCCTGGGGAACCCAGAGAGGGATGGAACCCATCAAATGGTTAGTGTAACCCGCTGTTGTTGAGGTGGGGGGGGGAGTTGGTTTTTGGTTTGGTTTTGTTTTGTTTGTTTTCCCAAATTTTGTTCTATTGTACTTTACTAATTTATTTGATTCTTTTTGTTAGTTCTTATTGTTTTTATTTTTATCTTCTGTTTTAAATATGATTTTCCATTGTGTAAACCACCTCGAGTCGCCATGGGCGAATAGGCAGCAATATAAATCAAATAAATCAAATAAATAATAAATAAATAAACCCAGATAAGCCTTGACAATCACAGATAATTCATGATTTGCTTCCAACAAGTTGCTGTGTGCAGCTTTCCTTTTTAAAAACTGTTTTCCCAGCTGCACTAATGAAGGGGGCCCTTTCCTCCCCTATAAGCCATGCAGCTCACATTGCTTCCTTCTCCATTCCTCCCTGCGTGCCCTAGGATGAAGAGGGGTGGGCCTGGGTCTTCCTCTGAATTCCCTCTGCCTTGCTCTACCTCTGCCTTGCTCTGCCCAGCTGGCCTTTGCCATTCCCCAGTTTCTTCCACAGCCAATGGAGCCACACTCCCACTCCCTGTCAGCTGTTCGGCCTCCCCCTCTGAATCAGATTCTGACAAGGGCATGACACCCTTCCCCTACTTTGTCCTCTTCCTTTCTGCCCCTGTCCCAGCACATATGTCTTAATGCTTCCCACATAGTGATCTTTGCCCTTCTGTGCTGCTGGGGAAAATTGCTAATGTCCTTGAAAGCAAATGAAGCAATGCTGGGGCAGTAGGGTCCCCCACAATCATAGAGGTTAGTGTTAGGAATGTAAGTCACCTAACAGTTATTTGGGTTGGAAATATATAAACTAGGATAGACATTTTAATACTATGTCTTTAAGAGAATACTAAAACTATAATTGGGTGTGATTCCGCAAGTGGCCATAAGATGGAGCCAGAAACCTGGATTGTTTAGTCTCAGTGAGTTCCTGTTCTATTCTGTTTCTGGAGAGTGTTGCCGTTCCTCCATTTTTCTCTACTGACTGTTATTCTTGGATTTGATGTAAGTCTGTTACTGAACT